TCAATTGCTCTATGGGTTGCTCTCTTTTGTTGCCATGCATGCGTTGTGGTTTGTACGTGGAAGGGGGGTGAGCATGAGGAATTGAATATTGGATGATTGTGGAGAGAAAAGGTCTGTGGTTTCTCCTCGATTGAGAACTGGTTCTTACAAAGAATATTCTGAACCCTTTCTTGCACTCAATAGCCCCGTTGCTTGCATCTTTCATTGAAACCCTTGTTATTTTTAGTGTATTTTAGCTTGCATCTTGCATTGAAACCCAGGTGTTTTTCGCACTTGCCTTGAAAACGCTTGCGATTTTTGCATCCGCATGCGCTCCATAGGGCTTTTGTGTCGATTTTTCAACGCGGTTTGGTCTTTGAATTGTAGTGAAAGCATTGGTGTATCATTGCAGTGCAAGGAACACACAGAGCTCAACTGGGAGGTAATTGGGACGTTTAGGCCTCCCAACATCGTCACAAGGCAAGCTCCTAGAATGATTCAGATTGAGGCATCATCCATCCTTCTTCTTTTTTTTGTCTGTTTTTTTGTTTTTTCCTATTCATCAGGTCAGTGTTTTGGTTTTCTTTATCACCTTATAATGATGATTCAGAATCTAACTCTAGCATGAAACTTACTATTGTCTCTTTGAATGGGCTTAATTATCTAGCTCGGTCGAAAGTTGTTTATCATTCTCTTTCTGGGAAATCTAAACTTGAGCACATTAATGGGAAGAAAAAGGCTCTAAGCAAGGATGATCCCTTATTTGAGGAATGACAATCCAATGATGATATTGAGATGTCATGGATCTTAAATTTCTTGTAAACTAAGCTTTCAAAAAAAATTATTTTTTGTTGAGAATGCCCAATATTTATGGAAATTCATTGAGGAAATATATGGCCAACAAAACAATATTGTTCAAATTCTTCAATTAAAATAGTAAGTTTCTCAAACAAAACAAGGGAACAAAACAATCTCTGGAGTGATGCATCTGAAACATCAAATTTATTAGTTTGTTATCTTTGATGTTTCAGATGTATGTTCTAAAAATTTATTGATTTGAAGCTGTTTTAACTGCTTGTTACTAATTAAGAGACTTTTAACTAAAGTTCTTAAGAATAAAGCTGCCCTTGAAGTTTTGAAAAATAGAAAAATTAATTTGTCTCATTTGCATATATTTGAATGCGTGTCTTATATTCATGTGGTTGGGCACAATAAGAATAAATTTGAAAAACACTCCACTAGATGTATCCTTCTTGGATACTCATCTACTCAAAAGGGATACAAATGTTATGCTCCCACAATCAGAAAAATGTATATTTCCAAAAATGTTCAATTTGTTGAAACAGGGTCTTATTCTCATGACACATTGAAGAGTGGTTTGAAAAAATAGGATTCAGATAGAATGTTCAAGAGGTCATTTTCCATTGCCTAGTAGTAGTACCAGTAATGTGTCAAACACACTCAGAACAAGTCATAATGATCAAACCCAAACTGAAGATACATTTGAAACTCACCAAGCTAGTTTAGAAAGAGAAGATTCTAACATGATCGCACTTGATCCCCCCTTGTGTAGGTCTTCTTGTATCTCTCGACCTTCCTCTAGCCTTCAAGATTTTTATACTTACCATGCAGTTTCTTTACCTGTTCCTCCTGCCTATTTTGTTTTTTTATATTCTATTTCTAATCATTTTGAACCAACCAATTTCCAAAATACTATTTCTCGACTTATGTGGAGGAATGCCATGAAATATGAACTTTAGGCACTTGACAAGAACCATACTTGAGACATTGTCAAGTTATCTAAAGGGAAGAAGCAATTTAATGTAGATGATTGTTAAAATCAAATATAATAGTGATGGGCCCGTTGAGAGACATAAGACCAGGTTGATGGCCAAAGGATTTATTCAAACTTATGGAGTTGACTATAAAAAAACTTTTGCATCAATTGCTAAGATGAATATTGTTCACATTCTTTTGTATATCATAGTTAATTGTGGGTGGTCTGTGCATCATATAGAAATGCCTTCTTACATGGTGACTTTGAAAAAGAAGTCTATATGAGTTTTCCTCCAGGTCATTTTAAAAAAAAGGTGAAAGGTCTTTTATGAAAATTAAAGAATGCATTGTATGGATTTAAACAATCACTTTGTGCAGAGTATGCCAAGATCAACTCAGCATTAATGTGTATAGGGTTTTTAAGAAATTCAACTAATTCTTCAATGTTCATAAAAAGGAGAACTTCAAATACAATAGTTACACTCATTTATGTTGGTGATATTATCGTTACATATGATAATAAAGAAAGAATCATGAAGCTTAAAAAATAGGAAAAACTATAGATACTATCCCTCCCCCTCTTCCAATTTCAACTTACCACACATCCTACCCCCATTATTTTTTGCATTATACCCTATATCCCAACACAATGTTTTCTTATATCTATCCCCCACCACCCCCCCTCAGTCAAATAGTAGGTGAGTTTTAGAACCCCCCCCCCCCCCCTCAATCAAATAGTAAGTGAATTTTAAGACCAAAATACCCTTTCTCCTCTGTCTTCCCCTTTTGAAAGGATTGGTAACGTGCTACTTATTTGTCTTAAAATGTACTTTCTCTCTCTACCTCTCTCCACCATCTCTCCCATTTTCTCTTTACCCGACCACTCTAAGATTCTCTCTCTTTCTCTCTATCCATTCTCTCTCTAACCATCATCACTCCTATTCTCTCTCTACACCAAATGATATGACTTGAAAATACAGTCCCGCACAAATGGTGCAAAGTGTGTTGGACCGGCGCAAAGTGTGCCAGACTGCAAGTTTTTAGCCATAAAACTTTTCGAAAGTTACCGGTCCGGCACACTTTCCATAATATTTATGGCTAAACAAATACGGTTTGACAAAACATGTTCTAAACCGCAAAAAAAATTTGGTCCCGCACAAAGTGTGTCAGACCGGTAACTTTTCAAAAGTTTTATGGATAAAAAAATGTGGTCTGACACAAAATATGCATAGATCGCAAAAAAAACAATTTTGGTCTGACACAAAATGTACTGGACCGATAACTTTTCAGAAGTTTTATGGCTAAAAAATGTGGTCCAGCACGCTTTGTGTTGGATAAAAAAAAAATTGGTGTAATGTGAAATTTTTTTTGGTTGGGCTCTGCAGGGTTTATTTGCTAATTTGGATAAGTTGCTTGCATCAAATCGCCCTTCTAATAAGTAGGCTACTTTTATATATATATATATATATATATATA